CCTGTGGTCTCTGCCACCTGTTCAGTGTTTCTCCCCAACGATTTAAACCCAGCTCCCAGGCTGCCCAACCGCGGGTGGCCGGGTGGGAGGGGATCTGGGTGGTGGCCACGGCTTGGCAGCCCTGCTTTTGGTGGCTCCCTGGGGGTGTCCGATGGCTGCGGAGCCTGGTGAGTGGGGAAGCCGCTCACCCCGTGGAAACAGGGAGTCTGGTGGTGTTTCCAGAATGTGTGTTCAGCCTTCACAGGATTCAGGGTGGCCATTCTAACTGTAGCCCTTCCCTTCGCCTGGTCCAATTTTAAAACGAGCCAATCGCGTAGATTGCATCCCCAAGTCTCCAGTCAGGGCCCAGGGCCCAGGGCAGCACTGCATCAGGAATACAGACAGGTGCCCTGCTGCCCAGGGGCCTTGCCAGCCGGCTTCCAGAGGCCCTTCTGACCCGAGTAAAGGCTCACCTTCCCACGGCCTCCGAGCGCCTGTCTGATTTCTTGCAGCACCTCCGTGTTTCTGACAGTCCCTCCCCAGGCTCTGTGGAGGACGAGCCTCCTGCCCTGGCCTCCTCACAGCAGCCCTTTCTCTCCTGGCCACTTCTCACCCCATCACCATTTCCAGGTGGCCAGGCTGCCCGCGGAGTCTGCAAGTTCCCTGGAAAGTGGACCACAGAGTCCTGTAGAGCTCCGCTGTCCTTCTGGGTGGGTTTTCTTGGTGACCCTGGGTGAGAGGAGCAGACCCGGCCTGCACACCTCTGGGAGACGAGGCTGTGCACACCAGGCAGTAGGCCCACCCACGCACACCGGTGCACACTCAGAATGTGTGCACACAGGTGTGTCACACACACCTGCCTTTGTCCCTGGAGGGGAGTAGTCCCCGGTTGCTTGCTTGGGGGAACCCAGTGACCATGCAATAGCAAGGGAGGCAAGAGTCCTTCCAGGGTCTTGGGGCCTCATGTACCAGCCCAGAAGTCAGGATGCATCTTGATGACCTCTTGCACTGGCCGCTGGCCGGGGGGTGGTCACAAAGTGACCACTGCTCACACACACATGTGGCTGTGATTGCAGTCCTCCCTGTTCCCAGCGGAGACTCCTGCAGAAGTGTCGGGCCCTGTTCCTGCCAGCCCACTTCTAGGGACCTCTGAACAAAGGCGTCCAGAGGAGGCCGTGGCAGGGCAGGTGCAAAGGAGGGAACCCCAGAGGCCCTCGGCGTCTCCTCCAGGCAGGGCCCCTCTTGGCCGGGACTCAACGTGGGAGCAGGATGTGCAGGCGCTGGCTTCCTGGGTGTCCTCAGCCCTCGGGCCCCGTGTTACTCCTGGAGGCTGTGAGCCTGAACACGCCCGCTCTGTCCATCTGGGTCTCTATGTCCTTCACGAGGACCTCATCGCCGCTCCATCGTCCCATCCAGCCCTGTTCCCGGGCCTCGCAGTCTGTCTCTGCCCTGGGGGGCAGCCTGCAGGGCCCCATGGGGGCGGGCTGGATGGTGAGTGACAGGTAAAGCAGCCAACCAGTGCTCTTTCAGCTCTGGGGATGGGCCAGGAACTGCTCTCTCCGTTCACCCCGTGGCCCTGTGAGCAGCTTCTCTGCGTCCTGCTCTGCCGAGGTCAGCCGAGGTTTGAGTGCCTTGGTGACCCTCACTCACCTTGGCTCCGGGCCCTGCCGAGGTCACGGTGAATTCTCTTCTCTGTGGGTCTCCCCTCCTCAGGAAGGTGATGTAAAAGTGAGGGCCTCCCCCCACCCCCAGAAGCCTCAGAGACGTCCTCGTCTCCAGGGGGCTCCACAACAAATGGCCACACACACGGTGTGGCTTCAGACAGCCATCTGGGGACAGAGGTCTGAGGCCAAGGTCTGAGGCCTCCTCCAGGGTCTCCTGGGAGGACCCTCCCTGCCTCTTCCAGCTCCTGGTGACACCAGTGTCCCTTGGCTTGTGGCCACATCCCTCCAGTCTCTGCCTCCATGTGTGGCCATCTCCTCTGTGTCTGTCCCAGTGTCCCTCCACATGTGACCATCTCCTCTGTGTCTCTCCCAGTGTCCCTCCACCTGTGTCTTATCGGGACGCTGGTCCGTGGATGGGGTCACCCTAACCCCAAAGACCTCTCCAGACCCTAACACTTTTCATATCTGCAAAGACCTTTTCCTAGACATGGTCACACTCAAGGCTCTGGGGGTCGGACCTGGACATGTCTTTTTGGGGCCTCCTCTCAAGCCAGTTTCTGGCTGATCAGACCAGCCCATGGCCAGGCGGCTCCCCAGGAATCTGGCCTCTGGACATGGGCTGACAGGCTGCTGCTCACTGGGTGCACAGGGGACAGATGCTGGCCATGGGGTCCCCCAGCACAGAGCCACACGTGTGCCGTGACAACACTGTGGCAGCTGTGAGCACGGCTGGGCGGGGACAGGTCTGAGGACAGGAGAGGGCAGGCTGGACTCAGGATGGCGTGCCTCTGCCCCAGGTGCCCTCTTCTGCGTCCACCCCAGGAGGAGGTCTTGGGTGCCGAGCCCACGGGTGTTGCTGCAGAAGACAGCACGCGCCCCCTAGCGCCAGTGGCAGGGAGGGGCTGTGGCCGTAGGTGTGGGACACAGTGGACCATGCCTCCCTTGATTCCCCAGGCGTCACTCTGCTGCTGAGCAGAGGGGAGGCGCTGGTCTTGTCACCAGCAGTGTCTCTGTGTGACTTGAATAATGTGACCAGTCATGATGGAGACGAACCCCCAGCAGGGTGAGGAGGGGCAGTGCCACCTGACTCTGAAGTGTGAGGCTGAGGAGGTGACGCTGATGGCCATCTGCAGGAGGAGGGGCCGAGGGGTCTCTCACAGGGACATGGACTTCATCAGGCGCAGCTGGCGGGGTCGGAACAGGGCGGCTGGAGCTAATTACTTGGCGCAGCCTGGAGCAGTGCGCTGTCTCCAAGAACCGGCTCACCTCAGAACTGGCAGTACCGCTGTCTTGTGTTGTGCCAGGTCAGCCTCCTCCCCCGCCAGGGGGAGCAGCTCAAGTGACATGTCCTGTGGCTTCCCTGACAGCCGGGCCTTGCTGGATGAGCATGGAGCCTCTGTCCCCAGCACAGGGGCCGCCCAGAGCCAGCAAGGCCCGGGGAATGCGTGGAGGTCGACAAGGAGGTGCAGGAGGGACCTTGTGGATCACGAGGATCCTGGAGCCACCTAGGGCCACCCTCAGTCCCCAAGGCAATCTCCAGGTGCCCTTGGAGGGGCCAAGCCTGTTCAGAAGCTGGCCCAGGCCCTCAGGGCCTCGTCTGCTCATCTGTCAGGGGGGCGTCTGGGGCTGCTCTGAGCACCGCGAATGCAGCGGGCACCTGGGAGCTCGTGTCTGGGAGTCACCCTCCTGTCCCTCCCTTAGCTTTAGCTCTGCTCTCTGGTGGCGCAGACGCGATGGCCTCCCCACCACGGCCCTGAGCAGCCCAGCACCCCGCGCCCAGCACCCCTGCAGCGCGTGTCTCCTCCCCACCCCTCTCTCGCCCATCCCAGCCACTACAGGGAGCCATGTGAGGACAGACACCGTCCACCAGCTCCATGTCCACTGGGCACCACCCCTCGCCTCCACCAACAGGCTGAACAAGGAGAAGAACCGATGGGCATTGGCCTCTGCCTGGGGGTCTCTACCTCAGGCAGGGGCCCTTGGAGCAGGAAACCCTGCAGTCCCTCAGGCTCTCCTCCCACCCATGTGGGCTGCAGGTGGCCAGGCCCAGCTTGGGTCACTGCCACCTGCTGCACGAGCTGCTGACCAGGGGCCTGGGAGTGGAGGCAGCGTCCACCTCCCCTCACGTCCCTAGGCTCCCTCCCCATCTCTGCGCTTCCCTCCTCGTGGACCAGGAGCGCACAGCCTGTGGACCCCGGCAGCTCCAGGCAGAGCTCCTCCCTCCAGGGCCACCCTGGGGAGCAGTGTCCACGGCCTGACGCCCACTGTGCTCCCCTGCCCCTTCTCTAGGACGGCCGGGCTCCATGGCTCCTGGGCCCCTGTATGTGGGAGGAGTGCGCGTGCCACGCTGCCGCTATGGGTAGGGAGGTGTCCGGGGGGCCGCAGCCCGCAGAATTACCTGTGGCTCCTGGCTGCTCTGGTGGCCATGGGGCCTGGCCCCACCCAGGGCAGGTGGGGACCCTGAGCGGGCCATCTAGAGGGTCTGCTGGTTGGCTGACCTTGGGTGGACCTTGCCCATGGCCCTCCCCACACTGTGTTGCTCTCAGTCCTTTGGGACCTCTCCCAGCTGAGGGACAGGAGAAGAGCCAGGGCCAGCCGCAACTGCAGGGCTTATCCAGGCCAAGCAGGTACGTCTTCTCCTCCCCTGGGGAGGGTGGCAGGGCCTGGATGGGTCCTCTAGGTAGGGTGGACGGTGCTGGGACTGGTCATGGCCCTGAGCCCCTGGCCCTCTGGCCCTCCATTGCCCAGTTCCACCAACGTCGCTGCGGGACACCTCAATCCTGCAGACAGGCCCTGTGTGCCCTCCGCGCCAGCCCTGCCCTGCCTGCCTCACAAGGCCCACTCCCGCTCCCAGAGCCCAGAGGACCCGTGACTGGGGCCCGCAGGACCTGGGACTGGGGCCCACAATTCCGCTGATGTGCCTGCGGTCACCTCACCTTCCCACCAAGCCACAGGCTGCAGAGTTGCCTTCCACGCCACCCTGGTGCGCCACCCAGTAAAACTCAGGATTTCCAAGAGAAGCACTTCATGTCCCTCAGGGCAGGGGCAGGAGGAGTTGTCCAGGTTGCAGAAGGCACTGGTGTGCAGGGTGGAGGAGCTGACCCGTGGCAGGGCACATCCTGGTGTCCAGTGCTGGCTGGACCCTGAGAACCACCAGGTTCTCTTGGGTTTCTCTTGAGTGGCCACCAGTCTCTGCCGCCTGCACGGCAGGGCCTCGCTGGGGACCGGTCACGGTGCCAGCTCGGGGGCTGGTCCACGGCAGCTGCAGGTCCCCTCTGTTGCCCCTCTCCCTGCCCACGCAGGAGACAGTCCTCGGCACCCCTGGAGGGCCCTGCCCGGCCCCACAGCCCGTCTCACCTCTCGGTCCAGGCCTGCTGCCACCGTCACGATGTCCCCTGTCTCGCTGTTGATGGTGAACATGTTCTGGGATGGGCTCTGAGGGGTCTGGGTCACAATCCGGTACCGCACCATGCCGTTGGCTGTGGTGCTGTCATCCGCGTCATTGGCTGTGACTGTCATCACGTAGGTGCCTGTGAGGGGGGGAGAGCAGCTCAGGTGGGGTCTGCACCAGCTCTGTCCCCACCACACTCCAGGGGGACCTCGCCATTCACGCCAGGACGCTCAGGGCAACTGGGTGTGGCTTGTGCCCGTCACCTGCCAGGGCACCCAGGTGCCCATGCAAGTGAGCCCAGCCCTGCTGTGAGGGGTTCTCCTGAGCCGGGCGAGGCTCCCGCAGTGGGTGCCCTGACATCTCCCCCTCAGCGCAGGGTCCCAAGGCCTGGACAGGAGCGCCTCTCCAAGCCCTGCAGGGTGGGACATGCTCAGGTGGCCGGCAGCCCCCAGGTGTCCTGCCAGGAGCCTGCTTAGCTTCCAGGTTTACTGAGGGAAACACTCCACAGGGTGCATCTTAGGAGAGCAGGTCCAGCACAGGAAGAGGACGTGTATTTGCAGGTGCAGGGTCTACGGTCTCATCTCAGGCAGGTACATGGGACCACTGACCGGACTCAGCAGGCAGACGGCGGGTGTGGAGGTGGCAGGACGGCAAGGGAGGGTCCAGCGCCAGGGGCTGCCGGGTGCTGGGCAGCTGCTCCTCCATCACCAAGACACAGCTGCACTGAGGTGTGGTCCACACACCACGACGCTTGTCCTTTAAAGTACAGTTGCGTGGTTTCTGTGTCCCCGCAGGGTTGTGTGACTTCACACGGTCTAGTCCCAGGACATTTCCCGTGGCCTTAGGGAGCTTGGCACCATGATCACTCACTCCCCGTTGTCCCTCCCCAGTCCTCTGGCTTCTGCTCTCTGGGTTCATCCTCCTGGAGACTTGGACAAGGAGCTATGTCACATGTGACTTTTGGCCTTTGGCTTCCTTCACCACACCCGAGGTCCCTTCCTTTTGAGGCTGAGCACTATTTCACTGTATGGGGACATTCACGCCATCACCGAAAGTGCACCTGCCACGTGTAGGGCCTTGGGCTCTGGGTAGCAGACAAACACTGTCCCTGTCCCTTACAGGCTGGTGTGGGAGGACCAGACCGACAGGTAAAGAGACTCATGATTGCAAATTGTGACAAGTGCGTGGCAGAGAGGAGAGACAGTATGCAGGAACCACTGCAGACGCAGGACAGCTGGGTGACAAGGTGGACTACAGAGGTCACAGCCAAGGCCTCGCTGAGAGACCGAGGGATGAGACCCTGCACAGAGGGGCAAACATTCTGGGCAGAGAGTCCTGCATGATAGGGACAGAGACGGGGAGGGCATCTGGGGTCAGGGCGGCTGGATCCATGCTGTCACTCCATCCTAAGATCCAAGGGAAGCCAGCAGTGGACGGTCACCAGGGGACTTAAGTGACAGCTTGGTGTTCCTAAGACAGAGAACAGACTGCAGGCGGCGGGGGGTGGGGGCTGGTGGAGAGCACAAGGCTCGTTCCGTCCCTGGGTGTTACAGACCAGTGATATCCAAGGGACATCTGCTCATTCCTTTGGCACTCCTCTCCGTGTCTGCTGGGGAAAACACTGGAGAACTGTGTGTTTTGAAGTCCTAAGAAAAATCCACAAACAGACCTGCTGTATTTCGTGTGAGCAGTTGTGTGTAAACCTAATTATTATTCATTGATATATAGTTAATCATCAATAGAGTTCTGCCAAAGACACTGGATATTTAAAAAGAATCTGGAAAGTTTTGCGTTTAGCAAAGGTGAAGAATGTTTTCATCAATCTTCCTCTCAAGGAGAACTATAAAAGCTGGACAAAAAATAAGTAAATAAAATAAAGCAACCTGTTGGGAGGCCCTGGAGAGCGTTCAAGGGGCAGTGCTGGGAAAGGAGCTCCCAGGACCTCATCTCCCAAGGCCTTTCCTGATGGCAGAACCGGCCAGGGAAAGCCCGAGGAGTGGCACGGGCTCACAGAAACCCAATCGAAGACCCAACTTCAGTCTTGCCAAGGAGGTCGGGCCCTGGGAGGTCTCTGGTCTTTGTGTTGGACCTTGAGGTGCAGCACCCTAGAGAGAGTGAGTGATGTGGGAATAAATAGTCCTACCATAATAGCAATGATCCTCCAAGGAGAAAGCAGCAGCACACTTGGCCTCAAGTTACAGCTACAACCGTCTGTGTACAATGTGCAACATTTGATTACTAAGCATACAAGAAGACAAAACCTGACTGAAAACAAAGAGAGAAAACAGACATCAAACGCTCCAGGGGAGAGTCAGGTAATGAAGACGTCAGATGCGAACTTAAAAGAGAAACAGCTCACTATGCTCAGGGAGTTAAAAAGATAAGAGGAAATTTTGGCCAGAGAACTAGAAATCATTTAAAACAAATAGAGTGGGAAAACTATATCTGAAAAACAACTAAAATTAAGAACGTGAGTGGGCTTAACAGTAGATCAAATATTAATAAAGAGAGAGTTAACTGAAAGATATAGCCAAAGAAAATAAAGACCAAAACAATCCAGAAAAGTTCAGAAGAACCATATGAAACTTTAGTAGATTCCCCAAATGTGTAACTGGAGCCCAGACGGCCAAAAAGAGATGACAGGGCAGGAGAAAGCTTAGGAGAGGAAATGGCTGAAAAGTTTCCAAAGCCAATAAGAAAACAAGTCATGGATTCAGGAAGCACTATACCCTAAGCAGGATGAATCAAAGCCAGTCTCGTTATGGCAAATGGCTAAAAGCCAAAGCCAAAGATAAGAAATTTTAAAGCAACTGGAGATTTTTTTTTTTAAAGGGATAAAGCCTTTAATGGAGCAATAAGACTTAAATGTGACTTCTCAATAGAAATTGCCAGAAACAATGGGATGAGAGAAAATAGCGAAAGAATAAACATTATTCTTTATTTGATGAAATCCCCAAACTTTCTAAAATGAAAGCACAATAAAGACACTAAAATTTAGACGATCAAAACAGGTGATTTGTCACCTGGACACCTACACTAAGGAAATACTGAGGGCTGAAGGAAAATGACCCTGGAGGAGGCCACAAATGCAGAGCTGGGGGGAGGGTGTCCCCACACTCAAACTGTTCACACAGAGAAGGGCGTGAGCTGGAGAGCGTGGAACGCTTCAGGTGGCGATGATCATGCTGCTGACTGAGGTCCCCCAAGCCACCAGGCTCGACCTGCAGACCTTCACCCGCGAAGTGAATCCGAGCCTGAGTGCAGCTCTAGTCTTCTGCTAGTGGGAAGCTCAGCCCGGATCCAGGGAAGCCTGGGTTCTGTGTTGGGCAGTGTTTGGAGCCGCCCAGCCGGGGAGCCAGGCCTGGACAGTGGGAGGGCTGGAAGTGACAAGACGGGGTCCTTCTGTCGGAAGCCCAGGGAGCAGCCACTGCAGCTTTCTGAGGCTGGAGGCTCCCTGCGCCCCACACTCCCTGTCTCACT